TGGTTTCTGTCCTCTGGCTCCTTGTGGATCAGGATTCAGGATTGTGATGGTTGTGTACACATTTGTTAACTCTGAGTGCTGGTACAACTATCTTAAGAGCACAGTGATCAGTCACAATTCAAGACCTCATATGCTTTAGACAAGACTTTTTATTTAAATTAGTACGGTCCGAAGACAGGAACGTTTTAGCTTTCTCAATTTAGGCCATTTCTTAACTAATATAGCACTTTGTGACATTTGCTCAACGGAGGAGCTGCACAAATACATTAAACATACTGTAGTTTACCTTGTGACATACAGGCTAGTCCACTGAAATATTTAGTATGCAAACAAAAAGTGTTGGGTGTGGGTTCAACATGTTAGGCACACATCGGGTGCACCTAATGTTTTGCTAAAATAAGGTTTGAGTAAATTCAAAATTCTGTTACACAGCCTTTCTGGAGAGTTGAACAAATTCTTTTGAATTTGTTTGAAGTGCAAACTTTACATAGCCAAACCTTTACAAACCAAAACTTACCTGGATCTAATACTGCAGTTTTGCGGTGGCCTTTCAAACCTGTTCCTGATAACAGAAATATTGACAGCTGTTTTTTTACTCTACCCGACATGGCTGTCTGTTAAAGTGAATTGTTTGATGTCTATACAGGGAACTCCAAGCAGGGGCTGCGTTGTAAAGCCTGTAAGATGGCGGCCCACCTCTGGTGCTCGTCTGAGCTCTCCCAGCAGCCCTGTAATGGGAAGGTAAAGAACACTTTCAGACTGTCTGAACGTTACCAATCCTCACCACCACACATTATGCACCTTCATGAAGCCAAACCAGTTACACCCTTAATCCCCACACTAAAAATGTACAGTGAACACAAAGTGTCTCTACAAGTGTCTGGCTGAGATTTGACACCCAGATATGTGGTCATCCAGTGTGAGTTGTATTTTTATGAATGTTTTTATGTTCTTTACGACACGTTTTATGGTGGAACTGAAGACAATGTCCACATTGTGCATAATAAAGTTTTTCTATTCATATTATTCCTAGTAGTATTTTATGACATTATAGCTCTAAGCTAGCTTACTTAGTTACATTATTTAAAAAGTGACAAAATCTAATAATAAGATATTATTATGTTTTATTATTGTAGTTTCATTGTGTTTTATCATGACACCTGTTCTGATTTAGAAGGGAACAATGCCACCCTTGAAGGGACAACCTCGATTATCATAAAATGATTAATCACTGGTCAGGGTGGCTTTGTATTAATAATATTAAATTCAATGTTACTGTGTTGCTTTGCTCATTTGCTGCAGTTATCTCCCCGTAGCCCAGCTTACCATGGGCAAAAATGTTTCTTATATAGTAATTACATTTTTATATGCTGTGTAGTTGTTCGCAAAATTGACTGGAAACGCATTGTCTCTGTAGGCCAAAGACTAACCCAGAATGCTTTGTGTCAGCAGAATTAAACAGCATCTGCATGCTGTAATTGTCTCTCTCAGTCAGTTGGCATAGCCTTTAGTCCTGGTAATATGCTTAGCCTCAAAGCCCCCGTCTTGTTAAAAGAGGATAAAGCCCTTTTCAAACCAGCAGAGACAAAAATGTTGGGGTTATAAATGGTATGTGGATTGACCAGAGCTTTGCAAAGTAGACTAAGACACTGGAAATGTGTGGAAGGGTAGCTGCAGGATAAATTTATCTCCCAACCATAAATGCCATAAGAGGAATAAAAGCGGAGGAGGATGACACTGATAAAGTTTCAGTGGCCAGGTCCCAACATTTCTTCACTCAGCCTTTTTGTCCTTCCTCCCTGCATGTGCTGCTCTTCTCACATAACGCCCTCCTCTCTTCCTCTCTCTTGTCTGGATGCTACATTTCCTTCCTCCCCTCTCAACTCTGTTGGAAAATCAATATCTCCCTGTACCAGCTGGTCTGGCTAATTCAGTGTGAAATTCAGTGTTTTTGAGGCGCACACAATCCCTCGAGGATATGACACGGCAGGCTCTCGCCAAGCCTTCGGCAGTGTCCTTTTCGATCACTGCACACTCATCAAAGCAAGGATTAGGCATTTTACTGAAACTGGATGGCGTTCGAGGCTACTTCTTATACATCTACGTAACTTAAGGTCCGGGGGTTAGCTGACTCAACCAACGTGCGTCATCCAAAGCTTTTGTGTGCAAACTGATTGCTCTTTAAGAGCTGTAATTGCTCAGGTAATTTATTTTTATTTTTTTCATCATACGCATTTTAATGAAATGTAAATGTAGGAAAGGAATGGGTAATTTAATGGGTAATAAAATCGTCCCATTGATCTGAAAAATATGTTACAACTAATTGGGAAAACATCAGTCGCATGATTGGTAGGGAAAAATGGATTTTCAGACTAGAAATGCCAGTCATACTGTTGGGACTTGAGGCCAGACACAGAAGAGATGTTGCTGCAGGGAGAAGAGAGCAGAGTGCCTATAAGCAGTCCAGTGAAGAGCGGGAGAAGCTGGACATCTTAGTGTGACCCATCATGAATATATCAAGTACTGTTCACACATTCACAGTGATGAAAGGTAACTAAGTAGACTCACTCAAGTACTGTACTTCTATTACAGTATTTAGTATACAGTATTATTATAGTATTTCTATTTTATGTTACTTCTCCTTCTACTCCTTTATGTTTCAGAGGACAATATCGAACTTTTTACTACTACTACATTTATGTGTGAGCTACAGTTACTGGTTTTACATACCATACTGTATAACTAGTTCATAATGACTAAAAAATTCAATGACCATCATATAACATTGTTTCTGTAAAATGTAGCTGCAGCGGCTCAGGGTTCGAATCCGACCTGCACCCCTTTGCTACGTGTCATCCCCTCTCTCTGCCCCCCTTTCCTGTCTATCTTCAGCAGTCACTATCATTAAAGGGCCAAAAAAGAGCCCCAAAATACTTTAAAAGGCTGTTTACCTATGCCATACAGGTGAATGCATAGGTATTAATAAGCCAATAAAAGACGTCTGATTCTATAAATATTGGAGACACTATGAACAGGACCATTTCTGCATAATGAGTACTTTTACATTTGATGCTTGTTTACTTTTCTTTTCAGAGTATTTGCCACAGCTTGGGTATTTAAGCTCAGGAAATAATATAGCAATAGCAATAAAAAACAGGTCAATAGAATCATTAACGCATTATATTCAAACCGGCCATGAAAGCGCATAATGACTACATATCATAGCCCTTATTAATGGAGCGAGCGATGGAGTGAATAACCAAAACAGCTTCCACCCTTTGGTGTACGCAACGTGTCATCAGTCACAACCTAGATCAGTTACATCCTCGCAAGAAACAATCCACAGGCAGTCCACGGGGATGGAAGGGGTACTCTGCAACAATACTGTATGAGGAAAAAATTAACTTTACAATTGTTACGCTGTGGTCTGATAAATAATGGCGATTAAATTTAAAAAAGTAAGGTGGTAAATCTAAAAAAAGATTAAAGGAGTACTTCTTCCACCACTCGGTCTTTTGTCACAAACAATACAAACATCAAACTAAAGCAGGAACCAACTTCCACCACAGCGAGTGTTTATGTAAGTGAAGTGTAATTAAAAATGAAAAAGGAATATCGATGGCTGCAGTTCCTCTGCGCTCGGCCCTCAGTCCATTTGCTGAGTCCCGTATTTACAATATCTTCACCAACTCAAGCCAGCTTTAAGATTACATTTGGAATCGTGACAACATTTTGTCCAATCAATGTTAATTGAACTTAAAGAATGTATTACAGTTTGATTGAAGAAATAACCCTGCTGAGCACGGCACAAAGTAATGGCTTGTGCAGGCAAGCTTTACACACCAGCGGAACACTTCACATTACTCACCCGCCAAATTTGCTTTGAGTCTCGCTCACTTATATCTCCAGTGAGTCAGGTCCAGGGTCTTCTTTTCTGTAGCTCTCCAACTGAGTTAAGTGTTGCCAATTTCAGCTTTGTTTTGCTCTACTTAAACTTCAACATAAGTCCAAAGACCTGTCCAGTCATGGCTCCCACAGATTACTTATGGACCTGGATATGTATGATATATCGATTGTTACGGGTCATGTTTTGCCTGTTGGTTTGGATAAGGAAGATTCCCAAGGGGTTTCCATAATGCCTGAGGAAATCATTTTATATCTACTTCCAGTCTGAAGGCACAACAGTAACTGGCAGAGTAGGGAATATGAGCCAATTGCCACTCATTAATTAGCAGTAATCCGGGCAGAATAAAGTGAAGCATAATGCCAAGTTTATTTACAGAGAGCTCCTTTTATATTTTGTTGGTGTTGAAGCACTTTGTGACAAATCGATTCCAACAAGCAATAATTAAATAACAATAAGAACGCCTTTTACAAACCTCCAAGAAACTTGTCGCAGAGCCTGGCCATGTACATCCTCTATTAAACTATTTTATAATTCATTTTTAATATTATTTTAATGTTACTGCCCTTGTTCTGGTTTCAAAGGTGGTCGATAATGTATTAAATATAACACTGTGGATTAAACAATGATGGATTTTAAAAGGACCAGTGTGTAGGATTTAGTGGCTCATCTAGCGTGTGTAGTTGCCGGAGAAGTGTGAAACAGAAAGTATTGTGACAAAAAATTTGTTCCTTGTATCTAGAGCCAGTGTTTGGTTTGTCTGTTCTGGGCTACTGTAGAAACATGGCAGTTCAACATGATGGCCTCCACAGCTTCTGTAAATATAAAAGGTTCATTCTAAGGTCACAAAAACAACAATTCTTATTTTCTGGTGATTTTACACAAATGAAAACATCATTATATTATTATGAATATTAGATTCCATTTCTGTCAATAGATCATCCTAAATGTTACACACTGGTCGATGAATTGTTTAAAGAATTGTAAAAAATTCCATTCACAGTTTCTTTAAGGTCCAAACGGTTAATCAATCAATTGGCAGATTAATCGGCAGATTGCTAATGTAAAATATTGTTTGCAGCCCTGTCTTTGTTTGCTTTCTGAATGAGTAAAAATGCTATATATCATCTAGTCTTTACTGGTAGAACTGAATATTATTATAATCACAACCAGTGTTTCAGCACAGAGTTTCCTGCAGTTATTTCAGTGAAGAGGTGAAGTTTGTGTTCTGTGAACGAAGAGATAAAGAAGAGATTCTTGGCAAATTCTTGTCTGTCAGTCCTGAGAGCAGCCATCACACTCCCCTAAGAACCTTAAAGCAGTGTTTCACTTCTGGATGACTTCTGTACCTTTCAGAGCCTCCGCACTCACAAGATCTGTCAAAACTGTCACGGCACGTCATTCTGATTCATTTCTTTTATATAAAGATATTCCTTTGCTTTGACTTTTAGACACTTTCAGATAGAAGCATACAAAATATTCAAAACCCTCAAACCAGAGTGAAATATTTCCTGAAATCATTGACAGTCAATATGTAAATTATTTATCAGCGAATTCATACTTGATGCATCATGACACAGCGTATGCATGTGGAATATTTATTTAAATAATAAAAACAACAAACTGTGTACACTGAATGTACCAGGACGGCAGAAGAACAACTCAAAGATTAAATCCATTTTTCTGACGGCATGTGGCTTTCAGCATACATCACTTACTTTAAATCCGATGACAAGAGACACAGAGATTGAAGGATGATATACTATCTTTACCGACTGTTTCTATTTTAAGAGCACAGAACAGATTCTTCACAGCCTCCGTCAAAAGAAGGACTTTCTAATTTTATCTTTTAGACTGATGAGTCATGTACTGTGGCTAAACATATTTCTCCGGCTAAATAAAGAAACACAATCAGATATTTTACAGTACCAGATCCGCACTGGTTCATCTACAGTTCTTTGTGGTGCCTCAATACTCGGAACATGTGGGTATAAATTTGCTTGAAGGCAGATGAGACAAAAGTCATAGTCATACTCCATTAGGCATACAGCAGTGCTGGGGGACATTTCTTTACAAACTCCATGTTAAAACTAATGGTGAGTATTATTGCCACCATCAGAGGTCAATAATAGAGTTAGTGCAAAAATGTAGTCGTAAATCATTTTAACTGGTCTAACCTACATGTGTCAAGATGGAAAGGCCTGTCAAAGATATGCTGCTTGAATCAATACTGGGTTCATGATGTGATTTTCTCTGAAGACAAAATCACTTTAATTCTTTTTTTTTTTATACTTATTTAGCAAATAAAAGTATATATTTTTTTTATTTCTGAGTTAAGGTATAAACTGACTATAACTGACTAGCCGCCATGTCTTTGCTCCTTGATACAGCTATTGACACGAGTGACGAGTCCCATGTTGAGCAAGCGAAGTCAAAAGTAGATAGCGCCCTCTGTTGTTCATCGAGAGTATCACGATTCATTTTTAAACTCACCGAACTGTCTGGCAGCTTCAATGTAAATATCAGGTCATCCGAAGTTGGCTCATACTGTAACTGTCAGGTTCATGTTTTTGGTCAAACTGATATACTGATAATGTTTTTAGATGTCACCCACAAAAGAAACTACTTTTGTATGCAGCTTTTCTGCATTAGAGATTTACTTTCAATGCAAAATGTATTAAGCTGCACAAGTTGAGTGTAGCTTCGACATATGGCCTTGTTTCACAACCTGTCTAATTGTCAGCATTGACTTTTGGTTTAACCTTCACTGTATTAAAATCATGATTGTCTACAATGTCTGTGCACTGACATTGTAGCTGGATAGCTTCAAAATGTTGGCTGGCAAAGTATTAAAGATATGTACACAAAGAGCAGATCCTCCCCTGCTTACATGTACAGTGTGGATATGTAGGTGTTATTTGTGTCTTTTATATTACAGATTTGTTTAATATTTAGACAAATACAATTAATACAACCAACATAATCCAGGTTCCTCCAGTATCTGCATCAAAGTAATTTATCAGAGATTTCATTTGAGCTGAACTACTGAAAGAACACACACAGCTTCAGATACTCAGCTTTCATCGCACATACTGTTCTGTGCCCACCTTTCCCAGAGAAAACCACACAGGTATTGTCTTACATCAAAATATTATATCTGCCCTCAAGTAACGTTTCTCCTTCCCCCGTCCTTGCTCTCCTGTCTCCTCGTCTCTCTGTCGGCCTGTCAGACGGGAGCTTTCAAGAGAAACTTCAGCTCTCCTCTGCTAACCACTGAAGTGTTGGGTGTGGTCAGAGAGGCTCCTGCTGCACAGGGTGAGTGATGGAAACGCTGGCTGATTTCTCACGGCACCAAACAACTGTAATCTCAGGATGACTAATCACCATTTTCTGTGGCCTTCGGTCCTTGATTCCTGACAGGCCACTGTGTGTGCATAGGGGTCTGTGTGTGTGTTTGTGTCAGTATAGTGTCAGCTATAAAACTGGACACGTGTTGCTTTGTTCCATGTTGGCTGTGTAGAGGCAGATAATGGCATTGTTGACCCCGTGTATGAAGCACTGCGCTATGGGACGTCGCTGGCTCAGATGAGTCGCTCCAGCTTCAGCAGTATCTCAGAGTCACCGTGTCATGAGGTATAAAAATACACATAAAATACACAGACAACCCCAGTTGTTCATATATATTCATGTTGACGTTTATCATACCAAGAATAACAATGACTTTGCTGCCTGCAACTTTTTCTTCATTGCAGGTGGAAAAACTACAAGACAAACTAGAAAACCAGCCAATAGCTGAAGAGGAGCACATCCCAGGAAGTGGGTCAAATCCTTTTCTATTGACTTTCTAACTGATAATCTGGCAACTTTCAGGAAAACTACTGAAAATCCTTAAAGGAATAGTTACCACTTTGGGAAAAACTCATTTTCTTTACAAGAGGTAGAAGATTGACGCCGCTCTCATCTCTACTTCCCAGCAGCAGCAGGTTAGCTTAGCCTAACACAAACTGGAAACTGTAGGATACAGCTAGCCTAGCTCTGTTCAAAGGTTACAGAACACACCGACCAACACCTCTAAGGTCACTATAATGAACACATTATATGTCATTTGTGTCATTGGTAACTGACGAACTTTAAAGGTGCCGGATTTCGTTACCTTTTTTCAGAGCCAGGCTTTTTTCCTGTTTCCAGACATTGTGCTAAGCTAGCTTCTTTAGTATAGTGATCCTCTCATTTAACTCACTGCAAGAAAAATAAATATCCCAAAATGTTGAACTATTCCTT